TTATAAATATCTTTTTTTTTAATTTTATAAATAGAATATGCAAATATTCGAGTCCTGATGAACGTTGCTTACGACAAACAACAAATGAGTCCTGATGAATGTTCCTAATATCAATGAGTCCTGATGGTTTTTTTTTATTATTATTATTATTAATTGAATCTTTCATTAGAAAACAGGGTCACTTGAAGGATGAACTTAGGCCATTCACCTTTATACATCAATAAGAACATAATAAAGTTAAGATTGAAGATCAAGATAATTAGTGTTACCTGTAAGTTTTGCATGAAAAATTGAAAAAATGGATGAGGATAACCAAATTAAAATTTTGCAAATCAACAGTTCATATCTTCATAAAATACAAAAGGGTTGTTTTGTTTTAAAATTTTGCATTTATTAGAAAATTTAAATATTTTCATTTTATATCTCAAAAAGAACATAACTTAATCAAAATAAAAAATTTAGGTGGTATACCTTTATGTTTCATCAAAGAAATTGCAGAAAATGGATACGGATAACCAAATCAGCTTCACCAAAGAAATTGCAGAAAATTGATAATGATAACCAAATCAGTTAGGCCAAGAGATTAGACGTAGCAGCAAATCAATTCAATTGTAAGGCTAATTCTGTTAGATGATAAAAATTGTAGCCGGCTAAGCAGAAGATGAGAGAACTTGTCCAAATTATAGTTGGAAATTTCTTGGAAGATGCCTGGAAAATGCCAATGAAATGAATTTACAAAAAGATATCCAATGAGGTTACAATAAGAAAGGTGCAAAATTAGTTTATTATTTTAAAGTGATCAATAATTGTGCAACTGCTTCCTATTATAACATATAAAAGAAAAGACATAGGTATGGAAGGAGAAAGACAAAACGATAACATATAATTACGACATAAGTTAAATTTTGATTAATTTGTTTCAACTAAATATAAAAAAGCTAATTTCATTTAACTTAAAAGTATGAAAAGAGATTTATTTTAAGATATATATAAAGTATATTTCGATAATCTTAAAAGTAAATGGGTAAATATATTATTTACGTCTTTTATCTATTCTAAAATTAGTTTCAATCATTTGCCTTCTTCTTTAAATAAATGGCTAAATGTAATTTTTTTTATCTACTAACTATTATTCTCTTTTCATTTTAGTGTAGAAAGTTTAGTTTCTTTCAAAATCATCTATAAACTTTGAAAATCATTTCAAATTCATCTATCTAAGAAACTTCCATTAGTATTTTTAACGGAATCCTATAGGATGCTGATGTTGCATCAATTATGTGGTATATGCAGTTTTGAAAAATTACACTTTAATCTCAAAAACTTTGCAAAATTTTTAATTAAATTTTATATTCAAACCATTCCACAATATAATTTACTACCTAGTCCTTAAATGGACTAAATTAAAATTAATCAAAACCAATGATAAATAATTAAGATTATTAGCTTAATTTGTTAATTAATTAATATTATTTTTATCAAATTAAAATTGAAAAAATCTTTTACATGTAAAAATTTTAAAAATGTATTTTCTCTATCTTAAAATAATAAACATTTTTTAAATTATCTTTAAATTAAGAATTTAGAAACAATTTCTATTATTATATATTTTATCCTTAACAAAGAAACAAAAATAAAGAACCTTTTTAAGAATAATGATAAATAGGACTAAAATTTGGGACTAAAATTTGATACTAAAATTTAACTAATGTCACATTATTTAAAATATTAAAAAATAAATTTTATATTATTTAATGATATTTTTTTTAGGACATGTGATATTGTAGATAATAATCAGGTTAAAGTAAAAATATATATTTGTAAAGTAAAAAAAATTGTTTATCTTAAAAAATAAAAAA